ATAGTAAACGTGTCGCTCTCCATGACCAACTTCTACAAAGTACCGAAAAATCTAATTGTTGAAAACATCACTACCGGTAAGTTGAAGATTATGAACTGGAACTCGAAGGCCTCAAAACACATTCTGTGCCCAGGAATATAACGGCACACGGCGTTTGAATCAGTCACAGTACCGACCGTTACATCGCGAGTCATCGAATAGTAGCACCGCAAACCAAGGGTCATTCAATAACCAAACACTCCCTTGCTCCCTTGCTCTGTCCGACTGTGTGCGACCCGAGTCCACGTCGCGAGCTCAGTTTCTATTTACGAAATACCAAATATATTGATACTAATGGGCCCGGCAACGTTAAATTATAATGTGCCACAACGCCATTGAACAATCAATACGTCACTTCCTGAGTCCTATTCGTGAGGTCGTATCTGTGAGGTTCTATTCGTGAGGTATATAGCGTGCGCATACATCAATTGATCCACAGGTGGGGATCGCAGCAGTCCAGGGCGCCACCTACGCCAACTTGTCAGGCTAGTTATCCTGTCGTCATCTACATTTTTCATAACATTCGTTTTTTACCTACGGTGTTGTATCGATGCTAAAACAGGTGCAGCCAATAGAGCTGTTTATCAGAAAAGCTGTTCAAAGGGATTTTTGTTGAGGGCAGGGGATTTTTTCTATTTTTTGTAGGGAGCGGGAAATATCAGTACCCCGCAGTGGGCCCGGGCAGGGCAGATTTCTTTTTAAAAACAATTTTAGTGGGTATGAAAAAATATCGCAGCGTTGGCAAAACGGCCTTTAGGGCAGGGTATAATAAAAACACGCATTGGGGGAAATAACATATGCTAAATGTGGGGGGGGGGGCAACATAACGAGAGAAGAGTAGGCGAAAAGGCGCTTTTTAATGAGGGGGAAGGGAAAGATGAATTTGGTCAAAGGAGGGCAAGTCGGCGGGAGGAGAGTAAACAAAAAAGTGTTTGTTTTTTAATGAGGGGAGGGGAAAGATGAATTTGGTCAGCAGGAGGACAAGAAAGGCAAGTTGGCGGTAGGGGAGTAGGCAAAAAAGTGTGTTTTTAATGAGGGCGGGGGAAAGATGAATTTGGTCAGCAGGAGAGCAAGACAATTTTTTTCAGGTGGAGGGTAGCTTATGAACAGATTTTAATTTCCCCCTCTTTCCTTTATATTAATTAGCATACTAGTACTTCAAAAGGCCCATAAAATAAATTTTGTTCCAGAGAATTGACTATTTCAATTTATTGCTCGTTGGCTGTACCTGCTAAAACAACGATAGGGGTGACACAGTGGAACGTCTGGGTGGGAGACCATACTTCTGACGTGTTTGCTTATTTGAATAACACTAACCCTGGGTGAACATGGTTATGTACACGGTAAGAAAACACGGTAAAGAGAAAGAAACTACATACATGTACTCGTATATAGTGAAATTGTCTTTTGTTAACTTTTACTGTTGTTTTTATCACTTCGTTCCATAGTGGTTTGAGCGGGTAATCGGCAACATTTTAACGCTCGTAGAATTCACCTACCAAGACAACTACGAATAATCTGGTTTGATTTACAACAACCACTATGCTACCAGTGATCGGTAATCTGGTTTGATTTACAACAACCACTATGCTACCAGTGATCGGTAATCTGGTTTGATTTACAACAACCAATATGCTACCAGTGATCGGTAATCTGGTTTGATTTACAACAACCACTATGCTACCAGTGATCGGTAATCTGGTTTGATTTACAACAACCACTATGCTACCAGTGATCGGTAATCTGGTTTGATTTACAACAACCACTATGCTACCAGTGATCGGTAATCTGGTTTGATTTACAACAACCACTATGCTACCAGTGATCGGTAATCTGGTTTGATTTACAACAACCACTATGCTACCAGTGATCGGTAATCTGGTTTGATTTACAACAACCACTATGCTACCAGTGATCGGTAATCTGGTTTGATTTACAACAACCACTATGCTACCAGTGATCGGTAATCTGGTTTGATTTACAAATTTGATGAATGTTGTCACACTCATGCAAACAATTTTCGGTAAGTAAAGAAGTGAAATAGACTATTTTCCGTTCACTGCGAGAATCACGCGTTATGCGTGAAATCGAACGTAAAAACAGGACAAACAAGGTCATAGCGTCGTAGTCGCGTCAAACATCACGTGGGATTCGACAAACGCGAAAGTATTTCGGGGACATTTCCATGCTTAATAATGTGCTGTCCACATTTGATGATAGGCAATTTCGATTAAGTAAGGGTATTCGGAAGCAATATTCCTCTGTCGAAGATCGACCGGTCAATGTAAGCTACGAAATAAAGAAATTCTAGTTCAAAATCAAATCGTTCGATTTTTGCGGCAGACGTTCGACGCGCGTCTTTCATGCATCTCGCGAGATCTCGCAATTGTACGGAAAATCATCTATTGGCTTCTAAAGATTTGTGAATGTATAAGTTGGCTATGATAAATTTCTCTTTTTGCGCTCATGTTATCTATTGCAATTCGTGAGAAAATGGGGTTCGTCACGCAGACGACATTTAGAGAGACGATGCGCATTACTTGTTCATTCAAGGTACCCTGCATGACACGACTATATGCCGAGTACTGGTGTGTATTGTGGATATGCGTCGATTTAGACATTATATGCGAGTAAATTTGACCAATGTTTGCCGAGTCGTGCATTTCTTGTAGTATATGGCAGGCTAACACACTACGTTGCCTAGAAGATGGATTGTTGCTAATCACTCACGTGTTTGACAGTTATTTCCAGTATAACAGCCTTGACAGGAACATGAATATGTTGAACATGTCGTAGCTTGGCATATACCATTATTTTGGCATGGATTGGTCAGGCATGGATTGGCGATTGCTGTGAACAGACAGATAGAATTAATGAATGCATACTAGGATATATTCAAATTGTAGTATTGAGTATTAGTAATTCATTGTATGGCATTTGGAACACTTTACGCAAGGTATTCGCTTTATCGGGAGACCCGTTCATACACGTCGTGAACGTGGACGAGGAAGGCACATTTGTCGGTGGCGTTATGTCACATGTATTATGGTAAATAACGGCCGGAAACATTTATACTAAAAGCTGTACTCCGAAGAATGTTAGTTTGATTGACATTATCTATAAAATTAATACAGAAAATAAAAATAAAGCGTTTTGGCTATTTTTAATTTATTTTCTCTTTAACGATGCTTTATGGGCAATCAACAAGGATTTGGAATATAATACATCAAAATCCAAAACATTCTCATCTGCCTGTGAATGAAAAGCCGTTTCAAAGACTAATAAAATATTAGTAACTACTTGTACTTGTCTTTATTATACTCGACAGAAATAAAATATATATAGTGGTCGAGTTTACAAAACATAAGTGTGTTGTCAGTGCAAAGTTTATCTTACAGAAAGTGTACAATTGACATGTATAAGATACTTACCAGTCTGACATATATTTCCAGTATAACAGCCCACACAAGTGCACGTGTACGTAGTTCCTAAGTTGTTACATATACCGCTGTTCAAACAAGGATTTGGGTCACACGGGTTGACAGCTGAAAAAGGCCATACATGGATAATACAATTAACGTCGAAAATAGAGGATGTTAAATTTGACTGTAAGTAGTACACTATGCATATTTATTAAGCACCGTGTAAATATGTAAAGCGTTGTGGTTTATTGTTACATTGCCAATTGATGCAATGATACAATACTAGTACATTGTAGTCAGTCTTACCTGCATTCCACGTGACTTTCCATCCCGAGTATTCCAAGTTCTTATCAGTACCGAAGTACATCCAGAACGAATCACTCTCAATTGTCAATGTTTCTGGGACAGCTTGGCCATCATAGAACCAAAGCACACCGGGCTGGCTTACGCCTTGGAAATTTGCAACGTCGTACCTCACCCCAGGGCCAAGGTATAGTTCGTCTTTTGGTTCTTCCACGTGAAAAATTTGGTCAAATGTTAAGGTTATAGACGTGGCACCGGGAATGTAACATATATATCCTGCCGAATACCGAGGAAGGTAGGCATTAGGCCAGTTGATGGATTGAAAAGATCCCGTTGCGCACTCAATTCCATAACAGCTATACAGGTTTTGGTGATCTGAAAACAAGAGAAATGATTACACTCAATTATTACAAGTATCACGTGGCTTGGTGCTACATTATTATTATTATTATTATTATTATTATTATTATTATTATCGCTGTATTATTATTATTATTATTACAATTACTGTAATGCACATATGTATTGGTGGTGGTTCACATTTTTAATCGAGCGAATAATGTTGCGTGTGTGTGCTGCAAAAATAGTATACGATGATTCATGAACAGATTATGTTTTCATCGCGCAAGTATAAAACATACAAATGATAATCAAATGCTTGTTTATATTTCTTCTTTAATTTCGAAATAGCTAATAGCGGACGTGATGGAACATGTTACGTGCACCAGAAACCCACTCACCTCCTATTTCATTGCAATCAGAACCCATCCAATTAGTATCGATCTCTTCTATACATTCACACACGAATGACGATTCGCCCAATGGTGGATTTACCCGGTCATAGCACGTACGCGTAACTCCACGAGCATTGCATGGATTCGTTGAACAATCTGCAACAAATAATATACACATAGGTTAATATATCACCACGTGAATTTTACGAGACACTCTGGTAAATGACTTGTCATTTCCACGACAATCTTGTTGTGTTTGTCAGTGTTTTGTGTATGAAGATATGAAACTCAGGGGAAACTAGGTATTTTTTTAACTGCCTATTTCAAAATAAATAATTACACGTAACTATTCCAAATCCCCCCCCCTCGCCCGCCGAATGACCAACCATTACGCTGTCTGACAGCACGCATTGTTTTGAAGAGATGTGACTGAACAACAACGCGTATCTCCTCGTACGGCAAAACGATGACATTTATTCATCCACCCAATTGTTCATTTATGGTGCCATGATATTCTGGTATGCATGTATGTACGTAGATTGTGGACAGTCCCTCTGGCCTATTGTCTTTTTCAACTAAAATGCCGTAACGCATTTGTGCGAGGTCCCTTCGGCATTACGTAAGTGCATTACGGCTTTTGATTAAATCATTTTAGTCGAAAAAAACACTAGGCCAGAGGGACTGCCGAAAATCCATTATGTAAATAATATAATATAATATATTAAGAATATATCATCGAAAGTGATACACCTTCCAGGTTTGTACCAAATAGCACATGGCGAACTATAGCATATACAGACCAATGATTGTATAGCGCCACCAATTACGAGGTTTGCTTTGGTTCACTGTCACTGTGACACGTGACGTTGAAATAGCTACATACCATTATTGAATTAACAACATCTTAAATTAGTAAAATTACAGATTAGCCAAATTAAAATGCTAGCTAAAAGTACTCAGTATGTATATATACATATACATTATTAACGGTAGTTTACATAGTATTGTTGACAAGACCCCGGTTCTGAATGCGTGTTGTAATAGTGTTGCTCACACAGTTATTACATAATCCATGCATAATTGTGCATCGGTGTTTCTTTTTCTCGACAACTTAAATCGGAAAAAAAACAGACTTGGCAATTAGTGAATATGGACATACGAACAAGCTTGTTTTCAATAAATTGGAACATGTTAAACCAGAAGAGCTTGAAGGCGTGGTATAAAAATGGTGGCATTACTTATCTCATACATGCAATATATCGGTGGTCATTTTAACAGTTTATTATGAAAGAGCATAAACTTCTATAGTCCATGGGAAGAGGGGCGAATATAGAATCTGACAAGCATATACCATCAATTTGAACTAATGTGCTCTATAGATTTGTTTATACAGGGTGGCACTACACGTCATACTGTCTGATCATGCGCATTCCCAGTCACAATGATTCATCTGCCAGTGTAGAGGTGAAGAAAACAAGAGGCCGTGCATGCACTGATCGCGCCATGTCCTGGCTGACACCTTTGTTGTACATTTCTTTTAAGCCCATGGCACGTTGAACCGTTGTTCTGTGTCACGATTCACCCCCCCCCC